GAACCGCTGACCTTGTGGTTCAAACCTACCTTGAGGTCCATTGCTTTAGTCCACAGTGCCTGAGGACTCATCAAGCAAATATCGTAAACCTCACATAGAGATGCATGGATCAATTCTAGGAGAGTTCACAAGATGAAATAGGTACCATTTCACAGATGAGAAAACCGAGGCAGAGGTAAACTAAGGGTGTAAATCAGCTGAGTTGGGATTATAGCCAGGCAATCTTACTACCTACCCTGCGCTGCCTGGAATGACAGTAGAGGGAGAAGCTACTATTCACTGAGTGCTCTGGGCCGGACATGAATAAGTATTCTGTATTATACTTCCCATACCCTTTACATAGCACCTCTATGAGAAGGGTCCTAATAGGATTCTTATTTTACCTATGGAAACACTGAAGCTCAACAAGGACCATTCCTACTACAGCTAGACAGTGCAGCAGGCCTGACACACAGAGCTTCTCAAACCTACAGGGCCTGTTAAAAGTACAGCCCGCTGGGCAGTAGATCCATCTGGGGCCTGAGTATTTCTTCGCATTCCTAATCTTTCCAAGGTGCTGCTTCTGCTGGCAGGAAACCACACAGGGAGAACCACTGGCCCAGCACATAGTGGGTATTCAGGAAAGCTGGGCATATCTGACCATCACAGGGCCTTCCTAATCTCCGCCACTTAGTTTAGGGATGATCAAAACCCATCAAATGAAGACCCAGCTCCCAGTTGTATGGTTCCAGCCTATCAGATCCTCCTACTTCATACATCTAGATGTGCTGATCCCTGGAGCTCAGCTGAGCCACACAGAGAGGTTCAAAAATAATTTTTTGGAGAAAACTGCCCACTGTAGAAGAGGAAAATCTAACAGCAGTTGGACTGATTCGTTTTGAAGCATTGAGAAACATCTGAATCAAATTGTCTTTAAAATTACGCCATTTTATAAATTAGAGGGAAAAAAAATCTCTGAGCCAAATGTGTTTTTAAAGATTTATGGCTTCCAGAATGTCAGCACAACAGCTAAAGAGGCTGGGAAGGGATCCACCCTCCACAGTTCCTGCCGTCTGCTCTTAGGAACTGTTCTCACCAGATGATGAAATGAACAGTGTTTTTCCCCAATGTGACCATGGTGCCGCATTTTCCTTTGGTGTAGCTCTGATCTCTTATGCACAAGAAAGTTTGCGGGGACAGCAGTGTCGACTGGAAACACCTGTTCCCCATGGACTGGCCATGTGGATTTCACAAAAGAAGCCAAGCAGAACTGGATGTCTGGAAGGTGAGCCTGAAGCATGGAGATTCCCACAGAGTACTGTGGGTCTGGGCCTTTCAAACCCAAGCCATCCTCCAATACAGTCGCAAGGCAAATGCTTACCTAAAATGCTAAAAGAGATTCTCACTGGGCAAGGGTCTGAAGCCCCAAGCAACAAGCCCAGCTCTCTGTGGATGCAGGTGGTGGTCCTGGGTAAGTTCGTTCTATGCGGGGCTAGATCTCGTCATGTACAAAAACACAAGTATTGAACGAGAGGCTCTTCGACATGCCTGCCACACTGCCCTGATACCCTGGAGCTTCTGTGAGGTTTTCCTGAGCTTGGCTACTGGTACTTCCTTCCCCTGTACCCTCACTCTCTATCCCAGGGCTATCTGGGCTTGAGAGTAATTAGTCCTCAAGAACCTGAATCAGGCTGGAGATACTATCAGCAGTGTGCTGGTAAGTGGGAGGGGAGCACCTTGATTTGATGTAAATACTTCTACCATGGCCAATTAAAAATTCTGCACTTACGGTCACTGATAGTGTAGTGGTTACGAATCAGGCTGCGAACCGCAAGGTCAGCAGTTCGAAACTATCAGCTGTTCCATGGGGGAAAGATGAGGCTTTCTGCTCTTGTAAAGATTTACAGCCTCGGAAACCCTGTACATGGTAGCTGAGTTGGAACCGACTCCACGGCACACCACCACCACCAAGGTCACTGATGGCAAAGTTGGAATGCGATGTGCACACAGGAATCAGTGTGGGCTGCCTCCAGCATATCCTTGCATCTGAGACATTTACATTCCAATAGAAGCTTCTGGAAGGCTGAAGCTCTCCCTGTATGCAATGGACACACAGGAAATCTGACAGCTATGTTGTTGTTGTAAAATACCATTGACTCAGTTCCAACTCACAGACACCCTGTACAGGGTTTCCAAGGAGCGAGCGGCTGGTGGGTTTGAACTACCAACATTTCGGATAGCAGTCCAGCGCCACACCAGGACTCCTTATGTTATAATATTAAGTGGAAAACAAGCTGGATATAAAAGGTCTATCTGATTGCCATCACAGCTTTATAAGGCTGTGTCAAGGTACTGTGAGTGGAGGCTGTCAGATATTGGGACCTGGAGTGACTTTTCTTTGGTTTCTTTCATATCTCTCTGAGGCCTGTTCAGTTTGAACTGCAAGGTCAGCAGTTCAAATCCACCAGCTGCTCCTTGGAAATCCTATGCAGGGTTGCTATGAGTCAGAATCGACTCAATGGCACTAAACAAGGACAACGTTATAACATAAACACCTCCCTTTGGTTATAGAAGATCTGGATAAACACTTCAATGCTCCATGCAAGAGAGTTTATTTAATTAATCACTTAACAAGGTGCCCAGGTGGCATGAAGTGTTGAGCTGCTAACAGTAAGGATGGGGGTTCAAACCCTCCAAGAAAGATACGTGTGGTCTTCTCCAGTAAAGATTTACTCTCAGAAACCCTAAGGAGCAGTTTCACTTTGTCCTATAGGGATACTGAGCTATATATACTGTGATTTCTAAGCTATAAATAATGCCAAAATGAAATCTTTCTACTTACAGCTATGTTCCCTCAGGTCTAATGATGGAAGTTAAGGCCCTGACATGTAAGGGATGGGGTGGGTTGGAGCTGGTCTAGAACACAAGGTCCCCACATCTGGGCACTTGCTGGGCCTGGCTCTCGGTTCACTTCTGCCCAGTCCTCACTATAATGCCCCTGCTGTAATCAGAAAGCGCAATGTCCACCCTCAGCAGCTGGGTAATAAGCCAGGGAGACCTGTAGGCCATAGTACTATGACAGGAACAATCTCGGCTAGCTGTCAGCTGTTCAATACGGACTAGGAAGGTCGCTGAAGCCATGGAAACAATTCAGTCGTGTTGTCCACTCTGCAAACAGGCCACAGACCAGTCCCTTCACTCAGCCTCTTTCTGAAAGAGTCCAGGAAAGGGACCTTCAACAAGCTGCTCTCAGCTCCCTGCACCCTCACTCCATGCCAGCGGTGCCAGACCTTGTGTAGCACTACCTGACCACTGTGCCGCAGACCAAACTCTGCCAAAGTGCCTTCATGGGCCCAGCTCCTGACTGATCCCATCCAATGTTTGCACACCACCTCATGCCAATCCAACACCAAGCACTGAACCCCAGAACTTAACACAAAAGGACCTCATTCTTAAGCAGTTTCCATCTCAAGAGACACACAGTCACCTCTCCCACCTGGCACCGGTCCCCTGGGTATGCCTGAACATCCAGAGATTTAGGGGACTTGGATTTGCTGAGTGAATGAGGATTCTCGCTTAAAGTACTTCTGTTAGGACTCATGAGGCCATGAGGAGAGGACAGAGGGAAGGTGGAGGTGGGCAGTGAGCTAGATCCGGTGGGTACCTCCTATGAACCTCTAGTCTGTACTAGAAGCTACAGGCCTGCTGCCTGCTCCCCAACACTCCCCCTGCCATCAAGAACTCCCTGCAAACATCTGCTGTTATTTCTCCAAAGGGTGACAAGCAGGCCTAAAGAGAAGTGGCTTTCCCCTCCAATAATCACTCCCTAGTAACAATGACTACCTAAGTCTCTGTGATACCTCTGTAAATTGCACCGTGTAGCAGTTCCCTAATCCACTCATGACTCTGGAAGGCAGGACCCCTCAGGACACTGCACACAAGCATCTAGGCCCCAGTCCCCACTGAGCAGTGTGGGCTGACCCTGGGAAAGGGCAAGACAACCTGCAGACCCAGGCAGATGGCCCTTATAGCCCTGACTTACTGTCACTAACCCCCTCCTCTCCTCCCTCCCCATAGCTCCCTCACCCTCCAGATGCTTCCTGTTGGGGGGAGGGGGGTTCCAACTACTGCCACCCTGGACCCTCTCCAATGGTGCAAGGGCCCAGGTGCAAGGGCCCAGGTGTGGATGCAAGTTCAGTACTCTAAGTCTGGACCCCACTACTCTCAAGTGTAGTCCAGGGGGTGGAAGACTAGGCACCATGGTGAGCAGCTTAGAAATGCAGGAACGTGACTCCACGCCCCCACTTCCTGAACCAGGATCTGCATGTTAACGAGACCCCAGGAGGTGCGAATGCGCAGACCAGGGTGAGAGGCAGGGCCTCACACCTGGCTCCAGGGCACACGCAAGACAAGACTAAACGCACTTGAAGAAAGGAGGACTGAAATCAGAGGCTCTGCACTCCTCAGGGACAGAAATAGCCCTGTGGCCTCCAGATGGAAGGCACGGGCACAGGGGAGGTCCGTCTTCCCGCCAAACCCTCCCAGCGGGGTCCTGGCAGAGACTGGTGGAAACCTCCGTGGATTTCTTTCTGGAGTAGTAAAATGAGAGGCCGCGGCTTGAGCAGCCCTTCTGTTATAATTAAGTTGGTCAGAAATTCACCTAAGGATACTAAATTGAGTACCTGACCCTCTAATTACAGCCAGAAGGATCAGGGGACAATTACTTTCCAAAATAGTCTTTGGCAGCAGTAGGCAAGAGGTGGCATCTCTGGGCACATCTTGAGCGTGCCAGCTGAACTCACCCAGGGCTGCCCAGCAGAGCTCACCACTCTTCCCTGTCCTCTCCAGGTCCTCAGGCCACACCCATGGGAGTCTGGGGTGGCTAGCCCCTGGGTCAAGGTGCCTGGGGTTCTGCCTGCTATAAAATCAGCATGCATGCCTGATACTACCACAACAGTGAAGTCCTAAGGGACTCATAAAGAACAGCCCCGCCTTTGCCAAGTGTGCAAAACTGAAAGTACCTCCTTGGGCAGTGGCGGCTGCAGCTAGAGAAGAGGCCTTCCTACTCAGGTCGGGAATGCTGCTGTTCTCCAGGCTTCCACCTTTTCCGCCTTTCTTCTCCACGGCAGAGGCTGAGGCGGACGTCTCCATCTTGGCGACCCTAAAGGAGAAGACAAAGATGCTCACAATGCAGCCCCTGAACCCAGCCAGAAAGCGCCGACCCAGATTCCCGCCACCACAGGCTTCTAAAGCAACCAACTTAATTCTCTCATAATTGGGAAGGAGGTTTTAATTAATTTTGAGTATTATTAAACCTGGGTTATGTTTGGTCTTTTGAACAACCTTACGGGCAGCAGCCAAGAGTTTTCATAGTCTTTTATGCCGAATTTTGAAATCTAAGCAAAAAGTTCCTGCCGATGTGGGTATCAAATAGCAGGAAGGGAACGTCATCCTTGAGAAATAAAGTCAGAAGTAAGAACTCCAACTTAGAAATGTGAGGAAAATAAAGATAAATGAGATTGGTAACAATTAACCTTTTGCTTTGTGAAGTGGAGGGTCAGTGAAAAAGAGGAAAACCCCCAATGAGATGGATTGGCACAGTGGCAGCAGTAGTGAGCTCAAGCATAAGGATTGTGAGGTTGGCCCAGGACCAGGCAGTGTTTCCTTCTGTTGTGCATTAGGTCGCTATGAATTGGAACCAACTCAAATGCACCTTAAAAACAACCACTTTTTACTAGCTGCTGTTGAATCAATTAACAACTTCCAAAACCTCAGCCATTGAAAATTTCATGGAGCACAGTTGTATTCTTACACCATGGAGCCAGGATGAGTCAGAGTCCACTCAATGACAACTAGTTCAACCAGCTGCCAGCAAGTAATTCCAACTTAAAGTGTGTCAGAGTAGAATTGGTGTTTCATAGGATTTTCAGAGGCTGAGTTTTTGGAACTAGATCACCAGGCCTTTATTCCACTTTAACTCTGGGTGGGCACATACCTCCAGCCTTTCGGTTAGCAGCCAAGCACAGTAATTGTTTGCACCACCCAAGAATCCCTCAAAGTTTTCTCCTGTTCGTTCTCTGTTCCCCAGGATTCACCAACATTTATTCGTTTGCATGTTCATTCATTCATTCAGCACCTCTCATTCACTCCATCACTTATTTACTGGTAATCAGCATATTTTTCAGGCCCTCAGATGACGAAATGCCTGGTCATTTTACTTTCCCATGAACTCTGTGAAGCCCCCTTGTATGGCACACACTGGATAAGAAAGCCAAGGGAGAGAGTAGAGGTGGGGAAGAAAGAGTTCCAGAACTGAGACACAGGCCAGCCAGGCAGCCAGCCAAGGAGGGTCAGCAGGAATGGCGTGGTGACTGGGGGTGGAGGCAGAGTGGGGTCCTGGAAGCCAATGGAAGAAAGGCAATGTTGAAGGAGGAAGAATGACCACATTACCACGATGAATAAACTGAGGCCGGCCAAGGGCAGCATGTCATTTGACAAGAGCCGTCCCAGTCAAGTGGTGGTGGCCAAGGCCTGGTGTTGCAGAGGGGTGGGGTGGGGGCAGGGAGAGAGTGGAAGAGAACAAAAAGAAACAAGCACAGACAATTCTGTTCAAGAAGATTTACTTTAAAAGAAGCAGAGGGATGGGGTGTAGCTGGAGCCAGTGTTAAGGGAGGAATTTTGTTGCTGTTTAAGTAAGGGGGAGATGGCATGGGGACTCCAGGGTGCCTGTCAATGGGGAGGGTACAGGAGCGAGCTCAGGGAACCCTTTGTAGTAGAAACCAAGAGCAGCAGTTCCGTTCACCGGGCATCAAAGCAAACAAAACCTCTATTAGTAGGTCTAGACTTATACATTCTTAAATTTTCACCCTACTCGCAAGTCTCTGTCTAAAATAAGTGTATACAAGAACCACCGAGTGAGTGAGGGGCAAGGAAAATGGCCAACAGTCCCTGCTGGCTCAATTCCTGACCTCCTGATTTCACCTGTGTATACCAGCCTGGTTCCCACAATCCTTTACACTCAAGAAAATCAAGCAGATGATGGTGGTAGAGAAATCTCGTTGGTGAGTTGTGGGTTTCCTTAAGAGTCCAGAATCATTGTTTGATTATTTTTTATTTTTTTTTTAAGTCCATTTAAAAAATCTGTTCTTCAAGCAAATTGTTCGCCCAGGAGCCATCAAGGCAAGTGATCGGGTCCCCTCAAGGCAAGCCCCCTTCCAAGACTAAGACTCAAGGGGAATACACAAGCAGGCATGTGGTCTGACTGGTGACCACGTTGGTCACTGATAAGGGGAAGTGGGGGGAAAACAGCAATGAAGTTGTAAGCTAAGTATGACCACGTTCAATAGACTCCTGTGAACCCAGGTGGAGACCTGGTTGGCCAGCAGTATGGCAAGACCTGGGGACTCCTGGGCCCAGAGACAGTGACATGGCCACATAGGACTAGAATGGAGAGTGAAGCATCAAGCTGATAAGAAGTGAGGGGATATGCATAAGAACACCCACACTTGATGATAATACCCACTTGACCAGGATTCAATGGCTGGATGACCAGAACTCGACTAGAAGAAGAAAGAAGAGGGGGAAAAAAGAGTAATCTGATACAATTTGATGAACTTGACCTATACCTATGGATGTAGTAGCTCAAAAGAAGGAACAAATCTTTATAGCAAGTATCATTCCCGCCTCCTCAATACACAGGGATGGACAACTTGGACATTGGCTACCCAAAATGGGGGGCTCTACAAAGGCAAGAAGTGACTGGCTTACAAGCTTTCAAGAGGGAGCCTAGATCCAGAGGGAGCGGGAGACGGTAGAATCTCCCCTGAGTGGTTTCCAATCTGTCTGGACAGAGCTGATGAAAGGAGATGGGGATAAGACACTTGTGGTACAATATTGAATAATTGCTATCAGGACTAACTGTGAGGGTTGGAAATGTAAAGGTAGACGTTTTGTAACAAAAGGAGGGGAGTGGTTGGCTTTGCAGTCCAGGAGCGGAGGTCCCTGGGACCATCAAGGGAGAAGAGCGGAGTGCAGGACCCTACCCAGAAAAGCAGTGAAGCCAGAGATGAAGGCAGAGATGATGACGTGGAGAGATGGAGCAGCTGGGGACTCTAGACCCAGAGAGGGAGAGGGCTATGTGCTGATGACCGGGGGCAGGCTTATGGGGTGTACCCTTTGGTTGTTTGATGATGCATGGAGGGGACAGTAATCATGGCAATGAAATGAAATATGATAGGAAGAATGTAAAGCTACTGTTCTCCCAGGTAAACTGTCACATAATTTACAATAAAAACTTAAGACAAAAAAAAAAAATCTGTTCTTGCCAGAAACATGCTCTGCCCCTTATCCTCACCACCATACCATCCCACCAGCATCTGAGCTGGTCCTAAGGTTGCCTCCTTCCCTACACATCCAATCAGTGGTGATGACTTCACTGACTCCACACCTGGGTCCCGGAACTTTCTAGACCTCTCCAGATCACCATCCTCTTCCCACAACACCTCACCTCACCCCCTTCCCACCCCAAGGACTTACTTACTTAGCCCTTTGGCTTGCAGGTGAAGTCTCCCATCTCTGTCCCCAGGCCCCATCCTGCCACCAAACCCCGCACCATTCACACTCCACATTACTGTGCAAGACAGGCGTCACTTCCCCTTAGAAGCCCCTCTGCAGTTATGGTCACACGCTGTTAGGGACCCCTGCAGAAGCCAGGTATGTGGCCTACCTGACACCTCCACATCCCACATTACATTTGTTAGCAACCCTTCCCACTCCCCCACCCTGTCCCCACTGCAGTATTGCTCAGGAAGCCAACCAAGCAGGCTAGGACTGGACCTCTGAGGCAGACAGTCTTGGAAACACGAATCACTGTATGGACATCCTGGGTTTTCCTTTTCACAAATCAGGTAAAGGAATTTAAGCCCAACTTTGGAACATGTCTTGAATTTGAAAACAGAGACAGAAACCGAAATAACATCTGGGACAAGGAACCTTTAACAAGCATTGACCGGGTGCCAAGCACTTTATGTGGCGGGTGACTCATTTAGCATTACATCTTTTGGCTGTAGGAAATCAGGGCTCAGGAAGGCTATGCTGATACACCTTGTGGTGCTAACCCTCAGGGAGGATCTCCATGAAAAGACCTGGCCCAGCCCTCCCTGATGAGCAATGAGATCACCAAGCATGGGGCCCTTCTGGAGTGAAGCACACCATGCTGGTGCCCAGAACCCAGAAGCAGGATTAGGAGTATGCCACCACCCTAATGTCCACTCCAAAGGGGCCACATTGTGAACAGAAAACACCAGGTGCTGGAGGGAGATTGGAGCAAAAACTGTCCCTCAAACCCCCCCAGGGTCACCTAGAAGGTGTCTGTCTACCCAGACAGAACTGTGTGGCAGGCACACTCACTGACCCCTTATTCTGAGTCCTATTGTCAGCAGCTCACTGGCCAGGGCTGGGGTTCAGCTAGGCTAGAGGGTTTGGACACTCTCATCGTGGTACCTCCCATGTTCCCTGTCTGACTGTGGCCTCCTCTAGGCTCTCCAGACCAAACCAAATAGGTGCTTCGAAGCCTTGCCCAGGTGAAGAGGTTGGCCCAGGGAACCAGATCAGGGCTGAAAGAGCCTGGGACTTCATGGACCAAGACCTAGCAAAGGTGTGACCAGGTCCAGCACTACAGCACAGGAGAGGCAGCCTCCTCAAAGAACACAGATGGGTCCACTGAGGGATGGCAAGGAAAGAAAGAGGCTCAACAATGAAACATGACCCACTCTGGTAAGGACACAGAGAGACTTTGAAATAAGAGGAAAGGCCATGCTAACCCAGCACCCTGTTAAGTTGGCAGAGCGGATGTCATCACTCCATGAGAAGTGTGATGCCCGAGGCTCAGGGCCAGGTCTAGAATGCAGGTCTCCTCAAATTGCAATGCCGGCTCAGAGCCTAGGATTGGGCTGCTACAGGTACTGAGGAGAGAGAGTCCAAGGGGAGAAGGTATTGTTGGAGTGTCTCCAGGAACAGATGTGCACACAATGAGTGGACACCTCAGATTCCAGGTGGGAGCTTCCTGTGGGAGCGGACCCAGCCTGAGAGCATCCCAGCAGTACCATGCTGTCTCAGGTCTGCTGCCCTCCCCTCCCAGGAGAAGGGAGCAG